CCCCCAACAACAACAAGAAACAAAACAAACAACAACACATCCTTTAAAGGGGGAATGGCAAGTGGCCGTTCGTACACAGGTGATTGTTTTATTCAGGTGATTGTCTTATACAGGTGATTGTCTTATACAATTGATTGTCTTATACAGGTGATTATCTTATACAGGTGGCCATTGGAGCAGCTTCAACTGCAGGATTATTAAAATTTGGTCTCTTTTAAGGACAAGCGGGCTAACCCAGATTTCGGGGGTTTCCAGAAGAAATCTTGACCGACACCAAAATGGGTATTGCCCTACCTATAGGAGAAGTTTGGTTTCATTGGTGTGTGCATTTGTTTGGTTATAGAGAAAACTCTCCTTGTCTTTTAAAGAAACTGAACATGGGGCAAAAACTTAACCTTCGATTTTCTCAAAACAGCATTTTCGGGATAGCCCCGCTGTGAGAAGTAGTTTTTAAGAAGTACGTAAATGAAAATTTTGTGAAAACTATGTCCTATATCACAATTAACAGAAGAAGAAGAAGAAGAATTTTAGTTTTAGTAAGAATTTTATGGCACTTGCAATAGAATTAGGTCATATATTATAAGTGCCCAAGATAAGAGGTGTTCCTAGAGAGTAACTAACACAAAAAAGGAGGAGAGATACGGACGATAAGTACTTGAAAAGAAAGAAGGAGCAAACCATACCAGAGCACCTGCCAACCACCCACGAAGAAGAAGAAGAAGAAGAAGAAGAAGAACAACAACAACAACAACAACAACAACAACAACAACAACAACAACAACAACAACAACAAGTTACCAGTGGACAGGCCAGTCCTGTGCGTCAAGACATCCTTCAGCGTAACCTGTGAGGTCATGCCCTTGTTCGTCAGCTCCAGCTCTCCACCAATCAGCTTGGTGATGGGCGTGTCTGTGTGCACTCTGAGAGGAAATAAACAACGAGAAACTACTGACTTTTTTACAATAGAGAAACAAGAGGGGAAAGAGACAAGAAACATGAACAACGAGAAACTGTTGACGTGTTGCCCAAAGAGAAACAAGAGGAAAATAAACGTTACAATAGATATACAAGAGAGGAAGGAAAAC